ATGCGGTTTTGTGTTGACTACCGCCGCTTGAACGACGTTACAAAGAAGGACAGCTATCCCTTGCCAAGAATTGATGACACGCTGGACATGCTTACAGGCGTAAAGTGGTTTAGTACGCTGGATCTGAAAAGTGGCTACTGGCAGGTTGAAATTGACCCTAAGGACAAGGAGAAAACTGCATTCTCCACAGGAAAGGGCCTGTGGCAATTTAAAGTCATGCCGTTTGGATTGTGCAATGCTCCAGCAACGTTTGAAAGGTTGATGGAGCTTGTATTTACCGGGCTAATTGGAGATGCCTGTCTCGTCTATTTGGATGATATCATCATCGTAGGCCGTACGTTTGAGGAACACCTTCAAAACCTGGAACGCGTGCTCATGAAGATCCAGAGTGCCAACCTCAAGTTGAGTCCAAAGAAGTGCTCACTATTCAAACGGCAAGTTAGTTTTTTGGGGTATGTAGTGTCGGAAGAAGGTTTCCGCACGGATCCAGAGAAAATTGCTGCTGTCAAGGAGTGGCCGGTCCCAAAAGACAAGACACAGGTTAGAGCATTTTTGGGTTTGTGCTTTTATTATCGGCAATTTGTGAAGAACTTTGCAGATATAGGCAAACCTCTGCACAAGCTAACCGAGGAGAAGTGACAATTCTGCTGGGATGAAAGTTGCGATATTGCATTCCAGGAGCTCAAGAACCGTCTGTGCAAAACACCTATTTTGGGGTACCCTGATGCGGGCAAGGAATTCATAGTTGACACAGACGCAAGTGATATAGGACTTGGCGGTGTGTTGTCTCAACGGAATGGTGATCAAGAGATTGTGATAGCGTACTTCAGCAAGTCGTTGTCAAAGCCGGAAAGGAACTATTGTGTCACAAGACGGTAATTGCTTGCTGTGGTAAAGTCCTTGCAGCATTTTAGCAAATATCTTCTAGGGCGAAAATTCCACTTACGAACTGACCATGCTGCACTGAAATGGCTATTGCAGTTCAAAAATCCGGAAGAACAAGTTGCGAGATGGATTGAACTACTGCAGGAATACGACTTTGTGATCGAACATCGCAGCGGGAAATCTCATGGCAATGCAGATGCATTGTCAAGAAGACCTTGCCCTGAAGATTGCAAGCATTGTACTAGGCAAGAGGGTAAGGAAGTGGTATCTGTGAGAATGCTCAGGACAGACCAGCTCACCAATGAGTGGAAGGACAGCCTATGCACAGCAGGAAGATTCGGACATTAAGCCGATTCTGGAATGGATGAAGGCCAGTGCTCCTAAGCCCAAGTGGAGCGACGTCTCAGCAATGAGTTCGACCACGAAAAGCTATTGGGCCCAATGGGACAGTTTGCTGATTCAGGATGGAGTCCTGTGCCGTAAATGGGAAAATGGTCGGGGAGACAGGTGTCATTTGCAAATGGTTGTCCCTAAGGCTAAAGTGCCGGATATTCTACAGCTATACCATAGTGGTTGTTCAGGAGGCCACCTGGGAGTTAAACGAACTCTCCTGAAGATCCGAAAACGGTTTTACTGGGTCCATTGCCGTGTCGATGTCGAGGACTGGTGCCGCAAATGTACAAGTTGTGCGGCTGTAAAGGGACCTCAAATTCGTAGTAGAGGCGCATTGAAATTGTACAATGTTGGTGCACCATGGGAGAGGATAGCCATTGACGTTGCGGGGCCGTTTCCAGAAACTGAAAGTGGTAACAAGTATTTCATGGTTGTGATGGATTACTTCACTAAGTGGCCAGAAGTCTTCGCCATTCCAAATCAAGAAGCTTCAACCGTTGCAGATAAACTAGTTCATGAAGTCTTCTGTCGTTTTGGAGTACCTTTAGAGATTCACAGCGATCAAGGAAGGAATTTCGAGTCTCAAATATTCCAGGAAACTTGCAGAGTTATGGGTACTCATAAAACACGAACAACTTCTTACCACCCACAATCTGATGGAATGGTAGAACGATTTAATCAGACATTGGAAAGGTACCTGCCAAAAGTTGTGGAAAAACGGCAACGAGACTAGGACAGGCACATACAACCGTTTTTGTTGTCATATCGAAGCGCTGTTCACGAAAGTACATCAGTGACACCAGCTTTCGCAAACTTTGGGAGAGAATTGCGGCTGCCTGCAGACCTGATCACCGGAATACCACCTGATGCCCCACGCAGTATAACCGATTATGCAAATGACTTGCGGAACAAAATGAATGACATTTATGAGCACGTCAGACAGACGGGCCAGCAAACGTCTGAGAAGATGAAAACACGGTATGACCGCAAAATGAACAACAAGGGGTTTGATGAAGGTTCACTAGTGTGGTTACACAATCCAGTTCGCAGCAAAGGGAAATCTCCTAAGCTTCAAGCTAAATGGGACGGACCGTACCGGATTGTGACAAGGATCAATGACGTAACCTACCGGATACAGAAAAGTACCAGAGGTACTCCTAAGATTGTCCATGTGGATCGAATGGCGCGTTATTATGGGGCCAATAATGCTCGGGACGAGCATGTCTTAGGAGGGGGCAGTGTTGCGCGCCAATATTAATGTCTTGTACATGGCAACACTAGTTACACTAGCGCCCTCTAGTGTCGAGTAAAAAAAAGTGTTGCGCGCCACTATTATAGTTTTGTACATGGCAACACTAGTTACACTAGCGCCCTCTAGTGTCGAGTAAAAGAAAGTGTTGCGCGCCACTATTAATGTTTTGTACATGGCAACACTAGTTACACTAGCGCCCTCTAGTGTCGAATAGAAGAACTAGGAGAGTCGAGATCCTTCCAGAAATTTCGGGACCGATATGTACTCGAACATTCTAGATGTCGCTACAGTAGAAGGTTCTAGAAAATATCTGAGGCCCTATATAAGACCGGTATAGACCACGACCGGGGCAGTATTGAATTGGCGATACAAGAGAATACTTCGAAGCGAAATAACGGCGAACTGTGTTTTATTATTAGTGTGATTTTAGATTGTAATTAGTGTTGTGTAATTAAAGTGTCAATTTTGGTAATTCAATCGGCAGTTTTTAATTATCTCGAACCCCAAGCTCGTAACAATATTAAGAGTTTCTGTAGTCAATTTTTCAGTGAGAAAAATACATTTTAGAAAATTTCAGCGAAATCCGTTCAGTAGTTTCGCCTGTGTGTTGATAGATGAGCCAGTCAGGTTTGCCTTTTATATAGTATAGAAGATACCAATAGGCGTAGTTTTCCTCGAACTTATCATACAAGCACAGAGAAAAATTGCCCGTTGTGTAAAACAATCATATTTTACCGTACTGCAAGTCGTTTCAAGACATGTCACCGGAAGACAAAGTGAGATTATTTTCGCAACTACATATTTGTCGCAATTGCCTGTACTCATACAACGACAATAAAAATGCAAATCCAACAAAAGATGCCGTGTGTGCAACGATGTACACCACACAAAATTGCACGATATTTACCGCAAGGTTGAAATCGCCATCTGAAATAACGTGATACCTAACAACAAGCCACATACGTCACAGCAAAAGGCAAACTACGTGGCTGGAAATTATAACGAAGTCCTACTAGCGACCGTTCAACTAAAGTTGATGGCAGCAAATGCATCGAATGTTCAATTGCGATGCCTTCTCGACCAAGGGTCACTGATAAATCTAATAACTGAGAACGCTGCTCAACGGCTGGGACTGCAAAGACAAAATCGAAACGTCATAGTCTCAGGCATAGGGGACGTCAGCACATCATAGCAACGAAACCGTACCGTTAAACTGTGAGGCTTTGTATGGAGGCCATTCATTTACAACCGAAGCGATGGTAATGGCCAACATGCTCAGCAACCTGCCTAATTACACCTTCGAAAAACAACATTGGCCACATATTCAGAACATACAATTGGCGGATCCCGACTACAATATCTCGAAACCAGTGGACGTTCTGTTAGACGCTGGAGTATATGCTAATATAGTAATGAGTGGTATGCTATAAGGGCCCAACCACACGCACCCATGGCTAAACAGACAAAGGTCGGCTGGGTACTGCTGTGCAATATCAAAACCTTCAACTGACACGTGCTCATTAATCTTGAAGATATATCTTAATTTTAGGGGATGGAGGAAATAACCGAAACTAATCATAATCTAACATCAGAGGAATAATACGGTGAATCTGTTTATTTAACCACAACAAGAAGACAAGAAGACGGACCATATGCAGTCAGACTTCCAATGAAAACAAATTATATATCGGCAATTGGAAAGGACTGGCCAAAAAGGAACATTTTCTACATCATACAAGAAGTTTATTGACGAATATTTACAACTCGGCGACATGAAGCCATGCACTGAACAGCATGAGTCAATCTACTTCTTACCTTATCACGGCGTGCAAAAGCTGGACTCAACAACTACAAAACTGCGCGTAGTCTTCAACGCCTCTGCCAAGACACGCACAGGACAAAGCTTGAACGATCTCATGGAGTGCGGGGCTAACCACCAACAAGACCTGCAATCTATGATTCTGCGATGGCGAGCCTTTCAATACGCCTACACTGCAGACATTGAAAAGTTTTACCGTCAACACTTCTACAAACTTTTTTGTACGTTACTACTGATATTTTCGATGCGTGTTGGACCTACTACGCAACAAATGATCTACATAACGAAGCTTAGCAGTTCAAGATACGTTTATTTCGACAAGGTGTCTGACGTGCAGATTATTCAAGATAAGTGGAAAATGGTTGTATACTACATCATGACGACATATTGGTGGAGTTTGGAAAACATACAAAACTATGTCAACCATTTGAACACATTATGCAAGAAGGAAACAGCCTATCTTACAATTTCATTCCAGTTTCAATACGAACTTAACGAAATTCAACACTATAATGATTTCTTACGAACTGAACATGGACCACCTCAAAGAAAAAGAGGACTAGTGAATACAATTGGATACTTAGCAAATTACCTTTCTGGTACTCTGGATGAGAGATTTGCCAATCAGTACGAGAAGGATATCAACATAATCCAGTCAAACGTAAATCATCTGTTGAAACTCTGCAAAAATCACACATCGATCATCGAAGGTGAATATAATCTTTTAAAAAGAAACGAGGAAGTAATGAACACACAAATTCAAAAAAGAAACTGGAAAACGCATACAAGTGAGCCATGACAATGCTATGTACAGCTACCGCTCTGAACCTTGAACTTGATCATTTCAGACATACGACAAATACAACAGCAACTTCTAGACCTAGCAACTGCGTTAACGAGACGGGAGAGTTGACACCCATCTCATCAAGCCTAACCGATTTGAAGAGCAGCTCAACATCATCTCCGGTCAGTTACCAAGTGAGTTATCGCTAGCCTGTGTAAACACACGCCATTGCACGCGAAGCCTGGACAAGCTGGCGCGAGTGCACATGCACTTAAAAAGTGCACACCTAATATTCGAAGTGAAGCTACTGCTAATAACAACGAACAATCCTACTAAATTTTTTATACAGACAAAACTATAGTACTCACTTCTGAATACCTCGCTGTAAGCCTAAAAAGGGACATGATAGTGCCCTTAGAAGACAGAGATGTATCATCATGCTTAAGTCTTCAAGAAAAGAAAATGTTATGTGCTATTAATCAACCTATTTACAACATCAAGGTATCCGATACATTATGTGAAGCGCAAATATTAAACAATGGCGACTTATCAACATGTTGCACAAGAGTATTGAATTGCAACGACAGGTGGGTGCGATTACACAATCGTGGCGCGTGGCTGTTCTCCTGAAGATTGCACGATGCGCATTGTCTGCCCAGCAAGAGTGACGTCACAGCACTTACACGGCATGGGGATTATGTCACTCGGACTTGGGTTGGCTCAAGGGAAAAGGCTTCATAATTCAT